ACTGCTATGAACATCATTGAACAGATGTCCATGTTGTATGAATGTGCTTGTTTTGGGTATATGTCTAAGAGTGGAATTGTTGGATCTTGTGGTACACTGATTCCCATTTTCTTGAGGAGTTGCCATACTGATTTCCAAAATGACTGTACAAGGTTGCACTCCCACCAGCAGTGGAGAAGTGTTCTCCTTTCTCCACATCCTCTCCAGCATGAATTGTCATTGGTATTTTTGATTTTAGCCATTCTGACCGGAGTTAGATAGTATCTCAGAGTTGTTTTGATTTGCATTTCCTTGATGGCTAAAGATGTTGAACACTTTCTTATGTGTCTTTCAGCCATTTTAGATTCCTCTATTGAGAATTGTCTATTTAGTTCTGTGCCCCAGTTTTTAATTGGATTATTAGGTGTTTTGGAAACCTTTTCCTCTCTGAGTTGCTTTGGCTGTGGTGTTTCATCATAGCAACAGTACCCCTGAGTAAGGCAGAACCTTTAAAGCTCATGATATACTACTAAGTCTTGGCTCACTGAGATCAAAGAAAAGTGCTAAGACACTGTGTGTCAGGACAATGGCATGAGCCTGTGTGAGTTGTTAGTTGATGTTGGTTATCTCGAGATATTTATCCCTTTTCTATTTGAAACAATTCTGTTAAGCTTAATCTGTGGCTGTCTTGACTGAGCTTCAGAGCAACTAGATTCTCCCATGAGGGTTTGAAAAGCCAGCACCCCAACTGGAAAGGTTTGCGAAACTACTTCAGATTGTCTGTAACTTTCAAAATTAGGACACTGATTGGGGTGAAAGATTTACCCTGTTGCAGACAAGAAAAACACAGTCTGAACTTTGGTTCTATTTATTGAGGAATATTGCTTTTTTTTTCCCATTGTCAGCAGTGCTCATCATGTGAGTGGGCCGCATACAAAATTACTAAGGAATGCTTCAAGCCAAGCTATTTTTATGTGCTTTCTAGTTTATTTAGGTAAAATCCTATTTTCATTATATTCCTGTAACAGTTTATTTTTCATCAAGCACACAAATCTTTGTAGTGTAGAAACAAAAATTTCTATAATGTTTGTTCCTTTCAGGTTAAATCTTTAGATATATAAAAAGTTGCATGGGGGGTATCCTTTTTGGTAGTCAAAAATTTGAACAATTACCAAATCTGCCAATATTTATTGACTTGCAAATATAGTAATTCAGAAACACATACACTGTGCCAATTGATAATAAGAACATTCTGTTCCATTGCATTGTTTTTAAAATGAATATCCATTAAACACCAACACAAAAATAACATCAAAAAAGATTCTAGACCACCTCAATTTTCTGTGTCTGAGGACATCTTTTATGTCTTTTGATGGTTAGCATAAATTTCTTCAGCCAGAGGCACTGCAATAAACTGTGTGTTTCTAACAAATTTTGTATTTTAAACTGGAACCTCCTATGTAGTGGTGTTTGGGTATGAGAATTTCTTCAATAGAGTAATCGAAGTTAACTGAGAGAACAAAGATGGAGTCCTAATCCACCAGATTTAGGATTCTTAAAGGAGACACTGGT